TCATTCGGTCTGCTGCTCCTGACCCCTCCTTGTGCAATCTGCAGGACTGAGCTGTCACAGCCATTTATTAACCCTTAGTGAGGAGTACATTGTTTATTAGCTCCTATATTCTTCTCTATTTTTTTTCAGATTTTTTAAAACTATTTGTATGTTCACTTTTTAACTTTGTCTGGGGATTGTTCATTTTCAGTGCCAGGTTTTTAAAGAATGGCATCATTCTACTACCTTTCACAGAATAAAATTTTATCGAAATTGAAAATACCGAAAGAGTAATATATTGCAGCTTACCAATCATTGTCTGCATTAGTTTTCTTTGTAGGCTTTTTTCCCCCTCTGTTTTTACCTGTTTATCTGGCAACTAACCCGCCTCCTGTATAACAGTGCCCCAACTCTGGATCAAGGAGCACAGGGGCACAGTAAACAGCAGTATTGTCAGTCTGTACTAGCAGATTTAGATACACTAAAGGCAAATTTCAGTGCAGTTTGTTTTGTTCCAAATCGAAATTTGTATGAATTTTTTTTGTTATTCAGAAGTATCTGAATTTCTGAGTCACAATAGTAATGAATCTGAAATAACGAAACAAAATTCAGACAAAATTTGGACTTGAATCAAATTAGACTCTAATTCGAATTGAAATCAAACTCAAAACTGAAAAAAATTGAATGGAACATAAAAGCGTAAAATAGAATAGAATAGAATAAGAATAGAAAAGAAAAAAAAAAAAAGAACAGAAAAAACAATAGAATAGAATAAAATAGAAAGAATATAACTGTCTTCTGCAATTAGAATTTCCAGTAGAATAAATTCAAATAGAATAGATGAAAATATAAAAGAAAAGAATACAATAGAAAATAAGAAAATAGGAAAAAAATAAAATAAGATAGAATAGAATAGAAAGAATATACCCGTCTTCCAAAATTCAAATTTCTAATAGGATAAATAAACGAAGCAAATTCCGAAAACAAAGTAAACAAAACAAAATTATTTAAATTCCAAATTGAAATAAAATGAACTTTTACGTTCTGCACATGTCTAACTGCCATTACACAAGCAGTTGCAACATTTTTTTTTTTCTTTTGGGAGAAAGGTTTTACATGAAGAAATAAGAGCTGATCACTGTGTGCTCGCCTGTTAGTAGTAAATGGTTTGTCTTGACAATCTTAAGTGACCAATTTCCAGGAGATCTTGTTTAGTTAAAAAACAAAAAACTTACTGGCTGGATCACCAAGTGAAAATAAAGGAAAGAAAATAATAATGAAAACGAATGCAGCCACCACATCTAAGAATCAGTAAGCTGCAATATAATAACAGTTTGCTTTTGTGTTTCATACGGCTTTAATGAATAATGGGCGAGCCATCACACTTCATGGACAAACACACTTCATCAGGGAAAAGGGCTCCATTATCAGTGATGCAGGAAAATACAAATCCAAAAATGTAAAAATATATTTGATACTTTTACATCTTTGCATTTGTCTTATGAATTTGGTCTTAAAGAGTTAATAAACCCCGGACCCTGCATTCACTATATCTGCTCCCCCCCGGACCCTGCATTCACTATATCTGGTCTCCCCGGACCCTGCATTCATTATATCTGGTCTCCCCAGACCCTGCATTCACTATAGCTGGTCTCCCCGGACCCTGCATTCACTATATCTGCTCCCCCCGGACCCTGCATTCACTATATCTGCTCCCCCCGGACCCTGCATTCACTATATCCGCTCTCCCCAGACCATGCATTCACTATATCCGCTCTCCCAGGACCCCGCATTCACTATATCCGCTCTCTCCAGACCCTGCATTCACTATATCTGGTGTCCCCGAACCCTGTATCTACTTTATCCGATCTGCCCGAACCTTGCGTCCACTATATATATATATATGGTCTCCCAGGACCCTGCATTCACTATATCTGGTCTCCCAAGACCCTGCATTCACTCTATCCACTCTCCCCGGACCCTGCATTCACTCTATCCACTCTCCCCGGACCCTGTATTCACTCTATCCACTCTCCCCGGACCCTGCATTCACTCTATCCACTCTCCCCGGACACTGTATTCACTATATCTGGTCTCCCCGGACCTTGCATTCACTATATCCGCTCTCCCCGGGACCCTGCATTCACTATATCCGCTCTCCCCGGACCCTGCATTCACTATATCTGCTCTCCCCGGACCCTGCATTCACTAAATCTGGTCTACCCAGACCCGGCATCCACTATATCCAATCTCCATGGACCCTGCATTCACTATATCCAGTATACCTGGACCCTGCATTCACTTATCCGATTTCCTCGGACCCTGCATTCACTATATCTGCTCTCCCAGGACCCTACATTCACTATATCCGCTCTCCCCGGACCCTGCATGCACTATATAATGCACTATATTGGTCTCCCGGAACCTGCATTCACTATATATAGTCTCCCAGGACCCTGCATTCACTATTTCCTGTATCTCTGGACCCTGCATTCTTTATATCTGGTCTACCCTCACCCTGCATTCACTATATCCAGTATACCTGGACCCTGCATTTAATATATCCGCTCTCCCCAGACCCTGCATTCACTATGTCTGGTCTCCCCGGACCCTGCATTCACTATATCTGGTGTCCCAGAACACTACATTCACTATATCTTGTTTCCCTGGAACCTGCATTCACTAAATCTGGTCTCTCCCCGGACCCTGCATTCACTATACCGGTCTCCCCGGACCCTGCATTCACAATATCCAGTCTCCCAGGACCCTGCATTCACTATATCTGGTGACCCCAGACATTGCATACACTATATCCGGTCTCCCCGGACCCCGCATTCACTATATCTGCTCTCCCTTGACCCTGCATCCACTATATCCGTTCTCTCCAGACCCTGTATTAACTTTATCTGGTCCCCGGAACCTGCATTCACTATATCTGGTCTCCCCGAAACCTGCATTCATTATATTTAGTCTCCAAGTTACCTGCATTCACTATTTCCTGTATCCCCGGACTCTGCATTCACTATATCTAGTCTCCCTGGACCCTGCATTCACTATATCCGGTCTCCCCGGACTCTGCATTCACTATATCCGGTCTCCCAGGACCCTGCATTCACTATATCTGGTGTCTCTGGACCCTGTATTCACTATATTACGTCTACTAGGACCCTGCATTCACTATATTAGGTCTACCAGGACCCTGCATTCACTAAATCCGCTCTCCCCGAACCCTGCATTCACTATATCTGGTATCCCTGGACTCTGAATTCTCTATATCTGGTCTCTCCAGACCCTGCATTCACTATATCTTGTCTCTCCGAACCCTGCATTCACAATATCCAGTCTCCCAGGACCCTGCATTCACTATATCTGGTTACCCCGGACCCTGCATTCACTATATCTGGTCTCCCCAAACCCTGCATTCACTATATCCACTCTCCCCAGACCCTGCATTCACTATATCTGGTTACCCCGGACCCTGCATTCACTATATCCTCTCTCGTCTCCCATGACCCTGCATTCACTATATCTGGTTCCCCCAGACCAAGCATTCACTATATCCAGTCATCCAGGACCCTGCGTTCACTATATCCGCTCTCCCCGGACCCTGCATTCACTATATCTGGTTTCCCCAGACCAAGCATTCACTATATCCAGTCATCCAGGACCCTGCGTTCACTATATCCGCTCTCCCCGGACCCTGCATTCACTATATCTGGTCTCCCCGAACCCTGAATTCACTATATCCCCGCTCTCCCCGACCCCTGCATTCACTATATCCACTCTCCACGACCTTGCATTCACTATATCCGCTCTCGTCTCCCATGACCCTGCATTCACTATATGTGGTCTCTCAGACCAAGCATTCACTGTATCCGGTCATCCAGGACCCTGCGTTCACTATATCCGCTCTCTCCCCGGACCCCTGAAGTCACTATTTCGGTCTCCCCGGACCCTGCATTCACTATATCCGCTCTCCATAGACCCTGCATTCACTATATATGGTCTACCCGAACCCTGCATTCACTAAATCCGTTCTCTCAGTGCCCTGCATTCATTATATCTGGTAACCGGACCCTGCATTCACTATATCTGGTCTCCGCGGACCCTGCATTCACTATATCCGGTCTCCCCGGACCCTGCATTCATTATATATGGTCTCCCCAGACCCTGCATTCACTAAATCTGGTCTCCCCGTAACCCTGCATTCACTATATCTGCTCTCCCCGGATCCTGCATTCACTATATCTGGTCTTCCTAGACCCTGCATCCACTATAGCCTGTCTCCCCAGACCCTGCATTCACTAAATCTGCTCTCCCCGAACCCTGCATTCACTATATCTGGTATCCCTGGACTCTGAATTCTCTATATCTGGTCTCCCCAGACCCCGCATTCACTATATCTGGTCTCTCCCCGAACTCTGCATTCACTATAACCCCACTCTATACCCGCTCTCCCCGAACCCTGCATTCACTATATCTGGTCTCCCTGGACCCTGCATTCACTATATCTGCTCTCCACGAACCCTGCATTCACTATATCCGCTCTCGTCTCCAATGACTCTGCATTCACTATATCTGGTCTCCCCAGACCAAGCATTCACTATATCCGGTCATCCAGGACCCTGCGTTCACTATATCCGCTCTCCCCGGACCCTGAATTCACTATTTCTGGTCTCCCAGGACCCTGCATTCACTATATCCGCTCTCCATAGACCCTGCATTCACTATATATGGTCTACCCGAACCCTGCATTCACTAAATCCGTTCTCCCAGTGCCCTGCATTCACTACATCCGGTCTCCCAGTGCCCTGCATTCATTATATCTGGTAACCAGACCCTGCATTCACTATATCTGGTCACACAAGACCCTGCATTCACTATATCCTGTCTCCCAGTGCCCTGCATTCATCATATCTGCTCTCCCCAGAACTGCATTCACTATATCTGCTCTCCCCGGATCCTGCATTCACTATATCTGCTCTCCCTAGACCCTGCATCCACTATAGCCTGTCTTCCGGGACCCTGCATTCACTATATCCAGTCTCCCCGGAACCTGCATTTACTATATCTGGTCTCACAAGACCCTGCATACATTATATCAGGTCTCTCGGGACCCTACATTCACTATATCTGGTCTCCCAGGACCCTGCGTTCACTATATCAGGTCTCCCCAGACCCTGCATTCACTCCATCCGGTCTCCCAGTTCCTTGCATTCATTATATCTGGTTTTCCCTATGACCCTGCATTCACTATATCCTCTCTCCCTGGACCCTGCATTCACTATATCCGCTCTCCCCGGACCCTGCATTCACTATATCCGCTCTCCCCGGACCCTGCATTCACTATCTCTGGCCTCCTACAGTACACAGAACATGGAAATGAAATTATTGCATTACATTATATTTTTGAGCATGTACAGGACTCTGCTGCTGAGATGATACTGCCATCTTGTGTTCATTCAGGACATCACAGGATCTTCATCATACCTGGCGCAAAATACACCTCCGGAACCTGAGTGCATTTTTATATGTTTTAATTGATGAATAAAAGTTTTACAGGATAAAGCACCATGTTGAGTTCTTTTTAATGAGGAATACGGCTGATACAAAGACACTCATCAGGAGGGAACTTACTTTGGAGTCTTCATTCTTCATTCATAAGATGGCGGCGGGAGCGGACACGCTTTAGGAGCTCCTGCGCTCCTAGCCCCAATCCGCTGCCATCCGGGCCGCAGCGGACCCCAGCGGGGCCCCTAAGACACTCCCGGCCCAGCCTGACCACCAGGGACCACTTCTGGACCTTTTCTCGGAGCTCCGGGAATCGCGGCCTACCCGCGCACCTGAAGCCGCGGCTGAGCCGCGATCGGACCGGATCGCCGGACATCTACCCGGACCGTCTCCACTCTGCCCACCGGGTCCCCGCCGACCTGCCTGCCTGCCCAGGGCCCTCCCCCATCAGCCCTGGGTCCTCGCTGATTACCCTGGACCACCAGGAACCGGCACGGCCTCACGGCCTCCCTGGAGCCCTCCCTACTAGCTCTGGGACCACCCCAGACCGCCCGCGTCCAGCCGCCGGCACCCAGCCGCCACCTCGGGGCACCCAGCTGCCCGCACCCGGCGACCCTGCCTGGGAACTGCTTCAGGCCTCCCAGCACCCTGCGGGCCGCCCCCGCACCCTGCACCAGCCGGCCCCAGACCAGGGACCTTTCCAGGACGACGCCGCACCTCCGCTACCTGCATCGAGGGGGTAAGCCTCCCCTATCGGGCACCTACTACTGAACTGCCCAAACCCTATCCAATTCGGCGGAGCCAAGCCTACCACGCGGCCTTACCGCTCCCACCGACGCAGGGCCCCTAGCACCCCCAGTCGCTGGCCCACAACATCCACCTGCGCTGCGCTGCTCACCTCACCTCACCCACGGACGCTGAGCCAGACTGCGACTAACCCACTCCACCTCCAAACGTCGGTCCTCACCACCTCCTGCCAACGGCCCTTCTACACCGCCTAACGTCGGGCCCTTCATCGCCTCCTGATGCCAGGCCCTTCAGCACCATCAGCGCCTCCCGACGCCGAGTCCTCAGCGCCTGGCCCTCAACATCCGCCTGCGCCGGCTCACTTCGTTCACGGACGCCGAGCCTACTACAGCTGCCAACGCCTAGCCTACTCCACCTCCAGACGTCGATCCATACCACCTCCTCACGACGACCCTTCCACTCCTCCCGACGCCGGGCCCTTCAGCACCCTCAGCGCCTCCCGACACCGAGCCCTCAACACCTGGCCTCAACGTCTCCGGTCTCCGAGCCGCCAGCATCACCAGACGCCGCGCCTACCGAACCCCAGACGTTGCGCCCTATGACCCCTCCACTCACCGAACCACCGCACCCACTGATGACGTGCCGCCGCACCCCACGGACACCAACCTACTTCACCCGCAGACTACTACCAACCAGTTGCTATCCCTGCTGCCCTCCACTCTCCCTCTCCCCTCACAGAAGAACTCAATAGTCTCCACAGCGCTACAGTCGCTCTGCTTCACCATCCCGGACCTACACCCCCTCACCTCCCACGGCGTTTCGGACACTCTGCTTTGCCATCCCTGACCAGCACCCTGTTGTGGACTTTTGAATCATGTCTCAAAAATATGACTTTTATCAAGACATAATATTATATGGCAAACAGCTCAGCATAGCCGGATGCTAAGAGTTAATTTTGTCTTGGTTGAACCATCAAGAATTCTAGTTAAAGAAATGAAGAGAATGGGGGGAGTAAAACTTTCCCAAGACAATAAGACTGTTTGAACTGTCAACAAGGACTATTTGTATATGGAGGTTGAGAAGAATGCACATACAGAAAGTCAAACACATAGGACTTTGACTTGTAAACATTTCAACAATAATGAGACGGGAACTCAACTGGTTGAAAGCTTAACCAAAACCTGTAGAGTGTGATGAACTAACAGACCTCTGAAACTATTACCATATACTATTGTTCACCAAGGGTGAAAGCATTAACAATTGTTTACCATGAGTCCAATACAAGGGCCATGCAAACAGAGAGTTTTTTTTTCCTACACAGAGAAAATGTTGATTCTGAAACAAAGAGGTGAAATTCAGGACATTTAAGTCTAAAAGTTCACTGTATATCATGACAAAAATATACTACAAAAACATATCATAAATAAGATGTTATAGATTTTAAACACCACTAAATACTCAGCAATGGGAACTATATATCACTAATTTGAGTATTGAGATGATGGGAAGTAAGATGTATTATAGACTAGCATTAGTTACATGTCTTATCAGGAAACAAACAGGATGGTACTTCAAGGAGGAATAACTGAAATATACACCTATATTCCATGGTCCCTATTTAGAATAATATAGGTATGATCACTGCTATATCTGGAAAGAGCCGTATATTTTATTCCTGAAATTACCTGAAGATTCCACCCAAGGTATGAGTCATCTCAAATACTCACATTGTTCTGTGATACATGACCGCCACCTGGCGGGCAGGTGAGAAATAGCTTATGTACACACATTTCTCAACTAGCCAATCAGGAAGCCTGGTGGGAAGGTATCTTAGAACAATGGACTAGTGGATATAAAAGCCCATGTGCTTTAAGAAAAGGAGATCCCTCATAAAAACCTCATGGAAAGACCTGACATCTGAAGAAGATCTCTGCTGAATAACTACTCTTCCATCTTTTCAAACTTCCTAAAACTTTAAACCTCTAATCTTATAACTCCCTACATTCTTCCCTACTGAATCTATCACTTGCCATATATATCAGTCTAAAGGCGTTCCACTGCCAGCTAAATCCACGGGAGAGTTGCCTAGTCTGAATTCCGGGTGTGGTGAGATATTTATTTGATTTTTGTATTAATTATTTTCTCTGTTGTGTGGAATCATAAAATTACCTTAGTGTATCATAACAATATTGGGTAGTTAGATATATGTAGAAAGATACTGTGTTACTGTTAAAAATTGTTTATTGCCATATTATAAATTTTTTCATATTTCATAATTTATTGAATATTAATAACCAGAATATCATATATCAAGGGCTTGCTTCTTGCAATCCTATGGCCACGGCTTGTAAGAATATAACCTTTGAGATATTCGAAATTATTAATTATTAATAAATTTAATAAATATCATATCATTTAAAATTTGTGATTGATGTAATTAGTTAGAGACCTTATTAGTGTGTCTTACATTGGTAGGGATATGTTTTTGATTGTGTGTACCAATATTCATTTATCACCAGTCTTTTGCGTTTTGTGTTAATATATATATAATTTTTGTACATAAATAAATTTTTATATTTATCTATTATAAGGCAAATTTTGTGTGTATGGTACGAAATCATATTGGCTAAAAGAATTCAAGGTATAATAATAAGTGGGGTGATCAAATTATCAAAGTGTCCAAATTATTGGTTTACTAAATATTCGCCGTATTTTAACGGCTGGAGGCACTGTAATATTTCATCTAAGGGAAAGGGACACGCCCTTTATAAATAATATATATCCTTACATAAACCACCACAACAACCCCTTCACTCCCCCCTGACCTTTCCAGCACACCCCGCTCACCCCAACATGCCGCCCGCGCTCCTCCTCCTCGTCCTCCTCTCCTCCATCCCTAAAACCGCCTTCCTCCACCCGCCCACCCCCACTAAGCAGCTCTATATCGCCCCCTCGCTTCTCCCCTCTCCCCATTACGGCACCCACCACCTCCTCCTGCTACTCCACTTCCCCCGCTGACCCACTTGCCACCACTTCCAGACCCACACGCTCCTACACCTCCCGTTCCCATGCCACCTTCCTCACCCTCCTTCTTCTC